GAGCTTGGCACGCATCCTGAGAACAATTGCAAATAGAAGCGAACCGGGACATCGCAATGGATTTCCGCGCAAGGCAACTCGAGCATGCATCATCTATCATTTGGAACAGAGCTGAGGCGGTCCACGGATTTGCGTGCAATTTACTGCTTTCCTAGATTAATTTGCTAATTAATTAGGATTTTATATTTATTCGGACTGTACTATTTATTCGGACTGTATATTATTTTTTCGGACCCTCCGAGCGAGGGCAATGTTGTAATAAGTGTGCGTGTGTGTGATGTATGTCTTCCAACCCCACGTCTTTCTCCCTTTTATTTACCCGCTTATGATGGTTAGATTAGGGCATGTTTCAATTAGCATACAGTATGATAGCATGTTTGCATTCATTCATCTGTTTTGTATGCACCGGGCTCGGCACATCATACTAACTGCATTATATTTCAATTCCAAGTTGAATATTTGTTAGTTGTAGCATTTCGCATGCCATCTTTAGAATAGCCGAGCCTTCTATAGTTGCATTTTTGCATGTGTTGCATTAGGCATTTCTGTATAGTTAGGATCATGCATGAATTTCTAATTAGCTTCTGTTTTGGCTTGGAGTACTCGGTAGGTTTTATGCTTTAGCATCCTTGCATGCGTGTGAGTGACTGCCATGATAGCATGCTTACCATGAGGCTATATATTTATATGATATAACTGCCTGAATGCCTATGGGTGAAGGTTGGGTTATTTGAATTGGAACAATTTGTTGACCGTGAGTTTTAAGCCCACTAGATAGTGGCAAGAGGCCGATCTTTGATCGGGCCAGCGGGGGTGCTCACGAAGTGACCTTCCCCAATCGTACCCAAGTTCCCGAGCAGAGGCAACTTTGATGATGACGAACACATGGCCTTAGGCAAACGAGTCAGGGCTTCCTAAATTTTTCCAAAATAAAACATTTAGGTGGCGACTCTATATCTGGCAAAGTAGTCCATGTTTGGCACTTCTTTCAAAATCTGTTTTCTCAAAACGATTTGCCGGATTTGGACTCTTTGGTTCAGATTTAGAACCGTGACAATTTGAGAGTCCGAACTTGTAGTGAGCCCAAATGAACAGAACGGGACTCATCCTCCCGGGGCGTTCAAGGACGTCTACAGTCACCTTTTGCCGCAAGTTGGTAATGCGACCCATGACGAGATGTGTTTTTTGGATGGCCTGCAACAAAATAGAGAACGGTTAGCCTAGGCAAGAAATAAACCGAGAAAATACTTAGAAAATCTTTTTAAAACTCTTACCCTAGTCATTGACTTAACCGTGGACTTAACCATCCGGGTGTCTGGCACGTGCTCGGTCCCCACCATGTCTTCAGGGAGAAACAGGGACTTTGAAAGATCAAAGGCGATGAGGCGTTCCTTGTCCCCCTTTACCAAAGCGTTCGTCGAGATAGGATTTCCCCTGCACTTCAACTTCAGTTCCCAGGCCGGAAGTGGTTCGATCTTAGTTATCGCGTGCTCAATGTTGAGCTCAACCTCCAACTCAATGGAAGGATTGGCCAAACGGGCCCTCTTGCCAGCCCGGCGTGATTCGGTGTTCGGCGTTGCAGTTAAAGCCAACGCTATCACGGTCCCAAAACTTTGTCCGACAGTTAGTGCAGGCGGTGGGTTGCTCGGCATCTCGGTGGAGGTAGCGGTGATGAGGTTCTTGATACAGCTCATTTTTGCCATCTCTTACTCCTCAGTCAGCCAAATTATGGGCATGTCGGGAAAAGTTGGGTCAGGTGAAGGGGAAGGAGCCCGAAGAAAGTCGGTAACTTTGCTCTTGCGGGGAGTCGAGTAACGGTAGCTCGGTACATACTCGAGGAGCTCGTGGTAATCTCGGTGCTTATACCTTAGCACGGCCCTGATCGCCTCTTCGTTCAGGTAATGATAATTGGCTTGTAACTCTTTGATAGCTACAAAAGGAAGACAATTAACACGACACAATTTATAATGACAAAATAAGCAATCAAAAAGCTCGGCTTATATGAAGTCCTTGCTGATGTACCAGGCAGGCACATCAGCTGTTTTGTAATTACCAGTCACCCAGAAAAAATCATCATCGTGCATGTCCTTGTCCGGTGTGCCGGTCACTAATCGCTCTCTACCCGGTCTTATTTTTAAGTAATAATTGAAACCATCTTTTGTGCGGTCGAGCGTGTATTGACGCAAGATCTCGACCAGTCCTAACTACAAGCCCAGCTGATTATTTAACTCGACAACCCCATTTATGATTCTGTAAGTATTGGTTAATACTTGTGTGGGGGCCAGCCTGGTGTGCCTTAAGAATTCGCACATTAAAGGCTGCACGGGAAATCGCAGCCCCCCTTCTATTATGATGAGCACGGTGAATGGGCAAGATTCCAATTTACCCCATGGATTTATGTCCTCCTCGTCGAGCTTTAGATGTACGTCGGTTGGGACGCCATACTCCTCGCAAAACTCGGCCAATTCACTCGGCGTGTTAACAAGGAAGTGATAGCGCCCCATAGGAGACCAGTTTAGTTAGTCCGGCAAAATTGATTTGGTAAAATGGTGCACGGTGGCTGCTCGGTCTGTGAGTGCCCTGGTGTTAGTGTTTCTGGTCCCTTAGGGTTCTGCAATTAAAAATCAAGTGTAAGTTATAGCGCGGTCGCGTGTGAGCTTGATTTTAGCTCGAACACTTTTCAGCTCGGTCATGCGAGCAGGCCAGATTTTAGCCCGGTCGTATGCCCATATTCGCTCGATAGCCCGATTTTCCACTGTGAACAGCAAACTTGTCCGGTCTACTTGTGTTTTCAAATCAAAAGCTGTTTTTAGCTCAGCCAGTCCCAGATCCACACCTATTCATCACAAGAGACGATGAACAGTGTGGGAGACTAAGGGCATAAGGGCTTTTCGATGTCAAAAGCAATGCGAAACCCTAATCCTTTCCATTTTTTGATAGTGTTTAGGTGTGTTAATCTTCCTCGTAAGGGTAGATGCGAGAGTTGGAGTTCAAAAATACAAGGCAAGCATGAGGAACGGACAAAAAAAGAGTGGAAGAGTTGAAGACTTATTGATTGTAGCACGAATCAGAACTTCGATTGGAGAGATGCTTCCCCAGAGGCAGCAACGGAGCCGAATCCACTAGAGAAATGCGTCGATTGAAGTAGAGAATGCAAGAAATCAAGGTTATGGGTCCTGGATCGTCTATGGAGAGGGATGATGAACAGTGAAGAGAGAGATGTGAACAGATGTGCAATATATATGAAAGAGGTAGAGGCGCCAAAAATTTGAATCTGAAAAGACGTCGTAGGACAGTTGGGTTGGCTGTATGAGGCCAATAAACAAATGATGCGTGTTTGCGATGAGACCGGTGTCATTCTTGAAAAGACAGGTTGAAAAGTTGAATCGTCGACCAAGCTTGTCATTAGACTGATCATGAGAGTTAGCGCGGTCGGAGATAATAAGCTGATTTGGGTTGGATGACCAAGATGACCAACCAAGTGAATAAGCCCAGCAGAAGGATAAAATCCCAATCACGCTAGCGCAGACAAAATTAAGGGGCAATTGAGAGGGAGATTTATGACCTAACAGAGGGTCGAGCTAAGTTGGGTCGAAGTTAGGGTCCTTGCTCAGTCGGACATCGGGTGCGCGCTGCACCAAAGGCTCAATCCAGTCAAGTTGGGATAACCTTGGACTGCTAGCCCGTTTGAGATGTTGGCTCTGCTAAGTTAGACGGGATTAGTCCTCAGAAAATCGGGTTCGACCGGGCAGAAGCTCGATCATGGCTGTGGAGCTCGATTGAGCAGGCGATCAAGAATTACCGATGAGACCAGACAAGCAACACAGTCATAAGGTGATGGCGTGGCACCGCACTAAGAATAGCTCAGTGGGCAGTACTACATAGCATGATGGGACTGCAAGGAGGAGATCCCACTGTCCGTACGCGTCAATACTGTTTGGCAGTTTCATTATGTGGTGTTTAGCTGTATTAGCGTTGACACGTGGGGGAACGTGAGAGGAGAGCTAGTCCACGCGTCCAGAGGGAAATGAACGCAGAAGCGCGTGTAGAAACTATATAAACAATGCTATGCCTCCATACACAAGTCTAGAATATCTGGTGATCAAAGCTCACCTACCACTTTATCTCCTTTCTTTTCTCTCTCTCTCTCTTAGTGTGCTAACTTGACCGTCGGAGGGGTTTTCTGGTAGCACATCGTTGGGTAGCTCACCATCTTTGTGTTCTCAAGTCAGTCAGAGGGAAGTGCAGCTTAGACACAAGGAGTACATGCGATGACGATTATTTGCTCCCCGTACAATATATGTTTTTTTAAATGTTGTATAGGCAAAAGCTACAGCTACTAACATGAGTGACGTTGAGTCATAGAAATTTGTTGGGTTTGATAATTTGTTCAGGAGTTTCCTTTTCATTTCTTCTGGTATTTATAGGCTTTCTAGCATCTCTAGGTCCTCCAACAACCTGTCCAAAGGTTGCTACTGCTCCGATATCATTCATCTTGCTTATATGATTTCAATATGTGCCTCATTCCTTTTATTTGAATTTGAAATCCTTTGATAACCGTTGAAATGTTAAATACAACACCCACTACAAAAAATGAACTTTTAGCGATGTATAAAATCTGTCGCTAAAATTAACAAAGCCATCACAAAAAATATTAGCGACCGATATGAGGTGTGGTAACAAGTGGCATGACAAAAGTTTTTTGCGAACTAAATTGTCGCTAATTTTTGACGATGGATATGTGCCAATCTTTTGTGACGGATAGAGTTCACTAATTGTGACGGCATTGTACAGCCGTTGAAAATATTGAAAATTTTTTAGTGGCACTTAAATTTCCGTAGCTAAAGGTTGAATTGTTGGAAAATAAGTTCTCATTTTATTGATTTTTCTTTTGCGACAGCATTTAACCGTTGCAAAATATTATTTTAAAAAATGTGAAACTATTATATAAAATTACCGGCATAAATTATTAATATTTCCCATGATAAAATACATTCATATTTACAAAATCCTTATACCAACTATTAATATTTGCAAAACAAATATCAATTTACTCACAAAATCAAATGTTCGAATAATAATCCAAAGCAAAAAGGAAGAAAGGCAAAACGGTTATTATCTCAAAGCAAAAAGGAAAAGAGGAACCAATATCTCAACTCAAAAGAAAGGCAAAAAGGAAGGAACTGAATAAGCTCATATTATTGAGCCAACCAATCTGGGGGGAAGAAAGGACTTCTACCAAAAGTCGGGTTATTTGAAAGAGTTTATCAGCAAATTCATTCTAGGAAGAGTGTTAAACTACCAAAATTTAGCAAGGACAAAGGTAAAATTACCCAGAGGGCAATATTTGCATTATGAAGACAAACTATTTTCTCTCTTGAACTTCTACCCTTAGGCATTGCATGTCCAACCAATCCAGTAACAAAACCTTTCCCACTATAATGAGCAGCAACGCCTCTCTCAGCTATATGATCTATCTCTTCAGTTCTTATCTGTCAACCATAAAAAAAAACCAAAATACAACTGAATATTGCAAGTAAAGAAAAAAAAAAGATAACTATTGAACTCATATAGTGACAAATAAGAAGGATTTGACGTAAGACACAGTCAAAAGGAAATAAATGCATAATTGGGAAAGAATAAAGATTCATGAACTTCCAGTCGAAATATGCTCTCATAAAGAAATGGCAATTATTTGACCATGTAAAATCTACCTGCTTTGCAGTACATAAAGGCCCAACTCCAATGCATGGGTTTGGTTTTATAATGATCCGAAGCTGGTAAACCAAACAAATTAAAGTGTGTCATGAAGCAAATAGGTAAGATTATGCCAATCGATTGTTCACAAGGATAAAATTATAGCAAACCTGTGCAATTTGCTTGACTTCATTTATTGAACCTTTAGATTTAAGTACAACTTTTTAAATACTGCAAATAAACAACAAAAATTAGCTTGCAATAGCCTGTCGAGGAAAGTTTGATCACAATAATTGCATGGGTATACAAACCAGTTAGCTGTCTGAACAAGTCATCAGAAATTGTAGTAGTTGTGAGCTCCATAGCTTCAATTTCAAAATACATAAGAAAAAAGAAGGTTCATACTGTTGTTACCTGAAAGGCTCCTTACAAGGAGATTGAACTTCAGTTTTCACAGTCATAAGGTCTAAGAACTGATCATCCTCAATCTTTAACAAAATTTTGTTTGCCTAATAAAATGAGAAGAGCTTGATAAGTAGACCAGACTCTTGAAAACAATATTGGAGTTACTCTAAACCTTGAGAATTTAAATTATTCCAGAATCCAGATATTAAATTTTGGAATGCTCATCATAGTTTAGAGGTGTCATGGGTAAAGGGTAAAAAGGTAATTATCCATTTCTAAAGTTTCATTAAAAAATTTCATGAAAACAAAAAAAAAAGATACCTCTATGAGTTCCTTCTCATGTTTCTTATAGAGTTCTGCAACTCTTCTCTTGACTTTAGAACAAATTTACGCTTAACTTATCGAGCTTCGTAACGGATACAACTGGTTTAGAACACAAGGTTCAAATCTTGAGGGCATCAAAAGTAAGGGCAGTGGTTCTCACATTGAATAAACGCAGCCTGATATGAAGCTATGTGTCCAGGTGTGGCTGATCTAATCTGTAGCAAAATAAGTACAAATTTGTAAGGCATGAACAGTTTGTTTGCTTGGCTTTTTACATTTGACAACAAATAGTGAAACTTATTAAGAACAAACAATAGATGCATAAGAAAATTGAAAATAAGGGACTACAAAGAAAGTAAACACCAACATAAATCAATAAAATAAGCCAAACTAAAAACTACCAAAAGCTAAAAAATCTATTCCAACAATGTGAATAAACTTCCAGCAAAACAGAGCAAAAAAACCAGGGTAACCAAGATAAGATAAGACGAAAGAATCAAAGAATATATATTCTAAATTTAAAGCGGAATTAGTAATGCATGCAAAGTGAAAACAAATCTTAATTTTTTATTTTTTTTATTTTTTATGTTTTATTTTTTTCATAGATATTCCAAGGGTGTCTTACTTCTTCACAAGGAACTGTTCCACTGGGCATGGAAAGAAAAAACTGCACTAGTCATTTTCTAGGTTTTTGTTCCAAGCCTTCAAATCTCCTTCATAAGCCAATGTACATGAATAGAAACAGGACAATTGAAGAAGAGTGGCTAACAATTGCCTTCATGACCTTTGTGATCCTAAATAGAGCATGAGACCATCCATGATGACTATATGGATGGAACTAGCAGAATTATTTTCCCTTTTTTCTCCCCCTGCATTTGTTAGACCTCTTATCTTATTGTTTTTCCAGATGCAATTTGGAAGTTAAACACTCCTGACCTTATGGACAAAACAGGTTGCAGACAAAAGGTACATGCCTAAATTTTGATGATCACCTGTGAAGAATGATAATCCTGAAGGCCATTAGGATGGCAGGGGAGAATATCACTCTTTAGTCCTGGTTATAGATGCAACTAAGGAGCTAAATGCTCATCAACCAAGTTCAGACAAATGCGATACAGGTAACTCTCTCATTTAACTAGTATGTCACTGTAACTATCTCACCCTCTCTTCACCTTCTCTGTTTTTCCCCTCTTTCCCGCTGGTGCATTATCAATTCTGGTATCAGAGCTATGCACACTGATATCAGCAACAGAGGTAGAGGGAGATACAGGCCCTGCCCTGCTCCAACCACCAAGAAAGATGGTCATTCCTTGTAAGCTACACTGTACTCCAGCCTGCTCTCTTCCTTACTCCCATTTTCTTCATTATCATTCTCACCTTTTCCGCCTCCTCCCACCTCCCTAGAGAGGTATACAGGTCAGCAATCATTACATAATAGCCATCATTTTCTGGGTCAGCTTCAATAGCATGCTTTGCAATCCTTATACCCATCTCAGTATCATCGTGAATTTTGCAAGCGCTTAACAAAGCACCCCACAGACCCCCATCCGGAGCAATGGGCATTGAGAGAACCAAATCTTCAGCCTCGTGCAGATTGCCTGACCTGCCAAGGAGATCTACCATACAAGCATAGTGCTTCAATGTGGGGGCCAGAGAATAGTCCCTTATTCTATCAAACAGGCACTTCCCTTCCTCAACAAGCCCAGCATGAGTACAAGCTGAGAGAACAGCAAGAAAGGTAAGTTCATTGGGAATAGCATTTGACTGCTCCATCTGCTGGAAGACTTCTAGTGCAGATCCTGCATCTCCATGCGTACCATAACCTGAAATCATCACATTCCAAGAAATAACATCTTTTTCTTTGATTGCATCAAAAATTTCTCTTGATTTCTTTAGTTTCCCGCATTTTGCGTACATATCAACTAATGCAGTAGCAAGAGATATATTAAATTCAAACCCTCCTTCCATGATGTAATTGTGAATCCGTTCTCCTTTCTCTAGAGATGCAATATGAGAACAAGCAGAGAGTACAGTAACCAGTGTTGCTACATTAGGTTTGAAGCCTTCTGAAACCATTTTATCAAAGAGTCCTAAAGCGTCAGCAGAATGACCGCTATGATTATAAGATGAAATCAATGTGTTCCACGTGACAATATCCTTCTGTGTCCTAGAAAATATCTTCCATGCAACGACTGAATTTCCACTTTTACCATACATGTATATTAGTGAATTGGCAATGGAGACGTTCTCATGCATCGAGCTTTTAATTACATAACAATGAAGTGACTGGCCTAAATGGGTTGCTCCCAATCGTGAACATGAAGAGATCACAGATAACAAACTGTTTGAATCAAATTCAATGCCTAGATGTTGTATTTCCCTAAACAGCTCTATGCACTTTGATTCCAGTCCTACCTTACCATACTCATAAACCATTATGTTCCAAATCTCTTTGTCCCAGTCATGTACTCTGTAAAAAAACTTCTCTGCAAGAGCCAAAAGTCCAAACCCGCAATACATTGACAACAATGCATTTTTAACCATATGATCAAGTATATAATTTCTCCTCAGGATTATCCCATGAAAGGCCTTTCCTTCAGATACTCTCATGGACTTACCAAAACCAGAAATCAGACAACTGACAACAATCCCATCTGGATATATTCCAGCAGCTAGCATTTGCCAAAACAAACATACGCATTCGGTAATACACCCCAATCTTGCATAAACACCAACAATAGATGTCCACGATATAAGATCCTTATTGTCAACTTCACAAAATGAAAGATAAGCTTCCTCAGGGGTTCCACACTTGGTATACATACACAAAACAGAAGATTGAACAACTTGTGTACACCCAATTCCATTTTTTACTGCTAATCCATGTAAGCACCTACCCTCTAACAAAGCCCCCAAATTCCCACAAGCTTGAAATCCACCTTCCAAGGTTCTAGAATTCGGTCTCTCCCCATCCCCACCAATCTTGTGCATCTCACAAAGACACTCCAAACCCTTCTCACTTTCATCATTCTGCACATACCCAATTACAAGCGCAGTCCAAGCAACCACATCTCTTATAGGAATTTCATCGAACACAAGAGCTGCATCTTCCATACAATTCAACATGGAATACATGTAAACGAACGAAGACCCAACTGCAGAATTACCGGCAAAAAGTCCAATTTTTGAAACCAACCCATGTATTTTCATGCCATTGTTCATCGAAGATAGCTCGGCACAGGCGGCAACAACCATCGGAACAGTGAAATGGTTCGGTAGGACATGAGATAAACGCATTCGGAGATAAAATTCAAGGGCTTGTGAGTAATTGCCATTAGAGAAGTGGGCTTTGATTAGGGAGTTCCAAAGAAAGGTGTCTTTGAAATAAACCGAATCAAACACTCGAGAGGAGGAGTTGGGTTTGTTGATGGAAGCATAAAAAGAAATGAGCTTTGATGCTATGAAGAGGTTGTTCGTGTGGCCAGTTGTGATGATGAAGGCGTGGGATTGGAGGAGAGATTTGGGATCTGTTGTTTGGTTGGAGAGGAACAAGTTGATGTGAGAATCAAGGTAGTTGGTTGCATAAGAAGATGAATATAAACAACGTCTGTAGAAGTGGTTGGGTTTGAACTTGAGCATGGGACCTCCTTCCTTCTAACGGCTACACAAACAGAGCTACTCAGTCACTGGATATTTACTGTATAGCGAAACAATTGAACTCTTTCCTTGTAAATGAATTCCTTAAAATTGTAAGAATGTCTGTATTTTTTACAAGAAATTAGTAATTTATTTATCACAAAACTATCCACAATACCATAAATAAAAAATTATTTTTTTAGATTTTAACCAGTAAAAACAATTAATAATTCAAATTTATTTATTTCACTCATAAGGCCATACTTCATCATCACACATACTCTCTCTCTCTCTGAATAAATTGTGTGACTCCTAATTTTGAGATCCTAAATTTTTCCCAAAACTATTAATAATGTGTGGGGAAAGGCTCTGTGCATATGCACCTTACATCTAAAAAAAAAAAAAATTAATATAATTTTATATTTTTCAGGTCATAATTAAAAAAAATTATAACTACCAAATATCTCCTGAATAATATCTAAAGATGAAAATTAGTTTGAATAAAAAAAAATTAAGTAGAGATATATATGTACATCGTTATAGTAGCATTTTCCGTATGGGTTCCTGTTCGAGGTGGAGCCCGGAGGTGACTTGTGCGCAGAAAGTAGGACAAAGATAATAAGGCCAAGTTTGGGAAGACTAAAAAAGTGTACTTTTTGTCTTTTTAGATTAAAAAATTGAGGTTAAAAATATGGATGTTTGGGTTAACTTTTTGACTTTTTATTGAAAAATGTGTAATAAAAAATTGTAAAAATTGATTTGAAGGGAAAAATTTGAATTGGGAGTTGTGCAGCCGTAATTGTTGACTTTTGGTGAATAGTGTTAACTTTTTAACTTTTTGAGTAACTTTTTGACTTTTTGGCTTTTTTGGAAGTACCCAAACTTGGCCTAATAGAAATTTAAACTTCTCACCTATTTTTCAAAGTCCGTTGTAGTCTAGTTGGTTAGGATACTCGGCTCTCACCCGAGAGACCCGGGTTCAATTCCCGGCAACGGAATATTGTGTTTTTCAAACAACCGGGGAAAATGGTTGACTTCTTGTAAATTTGTGTCATAAAATGGTTTATTTATTTTAACTCCCTCATAAAATCCTTACTAGTATAAGGGCATAAAAATAAAGGGCTGGTGTGTGTTTGGGAAAGTTGTTTTGAAAAAAAATTTGGAAAGAGAGTTTAGAAATTTTTTTGATTTGTTTGGTTGTATATTTTAAAAGTAATTTTGGAGTTTGGAGTGATTTGATATTTTGTTGTAATTGAGTAGATGTGTATGAAAAAGAAGTGAGTTTGGAATTTTTTTGAAAAAAATCACAAATCAAATAAAATTTTGAAAACAAATTTCAAAAACAACTCTCTAAAAAACAAACCAAACAAACCCAAAATTTCTCAGTTCAAGTTCTTTTATTGTACGCTAATTTGTTTCTTGAACAAAGATATTCTCATTACATATACATTTATGTTGTTTTTATGTGGAATGGATTTCGAAACTTAAAAACTTTTGATATAGATATTTATTTTTTGTAAAGTTTTTACTTTTAAATCTACTTGTTGAGGTCTATCAAATTACACTCATGATGAACATAAATTTAAAAAATAAAATAATGACAAAATTTTCACTGAGTTAGCTATTAGCTATTATAATGCAATGAAAATAGTAAAATTTTCTATTGATGGATAAAAATTTTAAAAAAAATGAAGTCTAATTGGAAAATTTGTGTATCTATTATCAAATCTATCAATAAATATTTCAAATTGAGGGTTCCAAAATGATAAGATTGAAAATTTATAAGTTTTGAAACAGGGAAAATTTATTCTTTTTAAATTTGTTTTTCTATAATATATTAATTTCTCTAAAATTGATAGCCAAAGTTGACAATAGTAGTTCAAAATTGTTCCTTTACTATCAGTTTCTTATTTTACTCCCTCCATTTTAAGTTGTTAATGCTTGCATTCTTTTAAATAATTCAATTATTGAAATTTTACTTGTGATAAAGGAGGTCAAGTCAATACCTGATATTGGTCTTCTAACTGAGTCAAATTTGATGTCTAGTATCATGATAACAAAGAACAAAGACAGCAATTAACAGCATAATAATGTCTCAACGACCCAATTTCTTATTACAACGACAAAAGTGTTTAGGATAGGAAATTATTCAATGCTCCTGAGCATTGTTTCTTTTCACTCACTGGGTAGATATAACATCAGTTGTTTCTGATAACTTTAACATAAAAGTAATAGATCAATAATTATTACTTTTGAGCACCATCCAACAATGTTTCAGGGGTATTAAGTAATTTTTCGTTTAGGATTTAGGAGCGCAAGTTTGGAAACATGTTAAAATAGTTTAAAAAAATAAATTATTCTTTTCTTTTTATAAAAGTTCAAAAAAAATAAAAAAAAATAATTGTCTGTAAAACAACCCAAGCAACTGACTTGTTGCTTTTCATCTCAAACACTTTCGTGGAGCATAATTGTTAGGTTTTTGATTTTTCATTTTTGGGAAATTCTATAATACACCTTTCACTTGGGTTGTGTGCCATATATCTTAGATATGACATTTATAATATATGGTTATAACTTATTATAGTTGTTAGTTATGATTTGGTTATAATTTGATTATAATTTAATTTTTTTTAATTATATCTTATTTGATATTTAATTAGGAAAATTTACTTATAAATTCCATTTTGAGGAATGGTGAATCATTTAGTCCTAAGAATTTTCTTATAGACCAATTAGTTTCATTGATTTTAGAAGGGATTTTTATTGATAAATTCCATTTAGAAGTGTTTTAACCCAAGAAGTACATGAAGGAATTTTTTAACCCATTTAATCCCAGGTATGTATAGTTTTATTCCATAAAGTCTTTTTTCTTAATTTACACTATTTTCTTAGACATTTATGCCTTTATATTTAATTTTGATACCCTTATAAATATTTTTTTGAACGATTAGCAATTTTATGATGTGAATATTCATATTTTAAAATTCACAGTGGATAGGAATGTAAAATTGGCCCGTGGGCGGCCCGAAACCCGCCCGCGAGCCGGGGCGGGCCCGGCCCATTAACAATGTGAATATTCACATTGACATGTTAACATTCACATTAATAGGAATGTAAAATTGGCAAAAAAAACTTAAAAATTAATTTTTAAAGAAAAAAGTGTAAACCGCAAACCGCCCGCAACCGCCCGCACATCTACAAACCCTATCCGCACAAACCGCAAACCGCACTGCGGGCGGTTGCGGGTTGACTTTTTCCTAAACCGCATAGATGCGGGCGGGTCAAAACCGAACCGCAAACCGCACAAAATCGATCCGCGAACACCCCTAGTGACTCCTAATTTTGAGCACCAAGGATCCTCTAGAGTTTTTTTTTTTTAGAGTTTTCTAAAGTGATGTGTTGTATGGGTGAGATTTAATGCTAAAAAATTGATGTGACTTGTCATTAAATCTCAACCATACAACACACTACTCTAGGAAACTCTAAAAAAAAAAAAACTCTAGAGGATCCTTGCTCAATTTTGAAGTCCTAAATTTTTCCCAAAACTATTAATAATGTGTGGGGAAAGGCGCTGTGCATACGCACCTCATATCTAAAAAAACAATTAACATAATTTTATATTTTTTAGGTTATAATTAAAAAAAAATTATAACTACCAAGTATCTCCTGAATGATAACTAAAGAAGGAAATTAGTTTGAATAAAAAAAAATTAACTAGAGATATATATATACATCGTTATAGTAGCATTTTCCGTATGGGTTCTGTTCGAGGTGGAGCCCGGAGGTGACATGTGCGCAGAAAGTAGGACAAAAACTGATAATAATACAAATTAAACTTCTCACCTATTTCTTAAAGTCCGTTGTAGTCTAGTTGGTTAGGATACTCGGCTCTCACCCGAGAGACCCGGGTTCAAGTCCCGGCAACGGAATATTGTGTTTTTTAAACAACCGGGAAAAATGGTTGACTTCTTGTGAATTTGTGTCATTGGGAAAGTTGTTTTGAAAAAAAATTTGGGAAGAGTGTTTAGAAATTTTTTTGGTTTGTTTAGTTATATATTTTGAAAGTAATTTTAGAGTTTGGAGTGATTTGATATTTTGTTGTAATTGAGTAGATGTGTATGAGAGAAAAAGTTATTAAAAATGAGAGAGGAGAAAAAAAAATGATTGATTAATGTGTAAGAAAGAGAAGTGAGTTTGGAAATTTTTTGAAAAAAATCACAAATCAAACAAAATTTCAAAAACAAACCAAACAAGCCCAAAATTTCTCAGTTCAAGTTCTTTTATTGTACGCTAATTTGTTTCTTGAACAAAGATATTCTCATTACATATACATTTAGGTTGTTTTTATGTGGAATGGATTTCAAAACTTAAAAACTTTTGATATAGATATTTATTTTTTGTAAAGTTTTTACTTTTAAATCTACTTGTTGAGGCCTATCAAATTACACTCATGATGAACATAAATTTAAAAAATAAAATAATGACAAAATTTTCACTGAGTTAGCTATTAGCTATTATAATGCAATGAAAATAGTAAAATTTTCTATTGATGGATAAAAATAAAAAATAAAAAAATGAAGTCTAATTGGAAAATTTGTGTATCTATTATCAAATCTACCAATAAATATTTCAAATTGAGGGTTCCAAAATGATAAGATTGAAAATTTATAAGTTTTGAAACAGGGAAATTTTATTCTTTTTAATTTTTTTTTTCTATAATATATTAGTTTCTCTAAAATTGATAGCCAAAGTTGACAATAGTAGTTCAAAATTGTTCCTTTACTATCACTTTCTTATGTTACTCCCTCCATTTTAAGTTGTTAATGCTTGCATTCTTTTAAATAATTCAATTATTGAAATTTTACTTGTGATAAAGGAGGTCAAGTCAATACCTGATATTGGTCTTCTAACTGAGTCAAATTTGATGTCTAGTATCATGATAACAAAGAACAAAGACAGCAATTAACAGCATAATAATGTCTCAACGACCCAATTTCTTATTACAACTACAAAAGTGTTTAGGATAGGAAATTATTCAATGCTCCTGAGCATTGTTTCTTTTCACTCACTGGGTAGATATAACATCAGTTGTTTCTGATAACTTTAACATAAAAGTAATAGATCAATAATTATTACTTTTGAGCACCATCAACAATATGTTTCAGGGGTATTAAGTAATTTTTCGTTTAGGATTTAGGAGCGCAAGTTTGGAAACATGTTAAAATAGTTTAAAAAAATAAATTATTCTTTTCTTTTTATAAAAGTTCAAAAAAAATAAAAAAAAATAATTGTC